GAGCGCCGCCGCGCTTCCCAAGCGGCGCACTATCCAGTGCGCCACCGGGCCGGCCCCACCTCAGCCCTTCTGCAGGACAAGGTTAGCTAGGAGCTAGCGCCCCAGCAGCTCCACCTGATGTTGAGCAGCCTCACCACTCTATGTTACCAGCTGGATTGGCGTCCTTGCTCGCATGTACTCTACCACTGCCCACAGGTCCCACTGAAACCTCTCCCTGGTGCCCCATGAACTGCCCCTCCAGCTGATTGCCCTTCCCTACCTTTTCTGCCTGTCACCTCCTCGTGGTAGCCTTTTGGGCCTCCCAGGCCCCACAACCGAAAATACACACTGCCTGCCGCCTTATGTTCCCAGTCCTCACGCTCCAGCTGCTGCTTGTCTCTCCCTCCTGCCTCACCAACCAGACTATAAACACCTGGTCCTAGTGCCTGGCACAGGGCATGGCGCCATATGCCCTTATAAAACAGTAATGTTGGTAATAAAGAGAAAGAATGAGAAGCGATTGGAAGAGGAAAAAAGAGACAAAGAGGATGACCTGAGGATAACCGCAGGGCAGCCCTGGGGAAGGCCAAGGAGCCATGGAGTTTGTTGCTGAGGGAGTAGAGCGTGAAGGAGGGGCAGAAGGTTCTGGTGGGCCAAGTCAGCGGTTTCAGCTCAACTCTGAAGTCGTCTCCCCACAGGAGCTATCACAGGGGAAGGGAGAGGAGCTGTCAACAAGAGGACTAAAGGTGAGTCCTGCAAGTTCAAGCTGCAAGTTCAGCTGAATAACGAGGACCAATCTTTTTGTTTTTCCCACTTCAAGCGAGTGTCCAAGTTACTATGTATCCAGAGCCAAAAGAAGACAGGAAACAGGACTTAACGTCATATGATGGTGATCCCAGCAACAAAAGGATCTTTACAGTAAAACTAGCAGAGGCCACAGGCAGGGGAGAGTCTTCCAGCAACAGGGTCCTGCCCTGGACTTGCTGCGAGGATTGGTGCTCAATTGAGGGTGTAAATGACTGACTGACCAGAGCAGGAAGAAAGCTGTGAGGGTACCTTAGTGATGGAGAAGTCCAGCCGGACGTAGATGATGACGGTGAAGAACAAGATGTAGAAGGCAGCTACCACCAGCAGGGGCTCCTGCAGCATGAGCACCTTGTTGAATGTGTAGTGGACCTGGAAGGAGAACCAGAAGACAAGCTCTGTCAGGGCTACAGGGACACAGGAACTTGGGCGCCTCGACTCACGCAGGCTGGCCCATTCTACTACCTGCTGCCCTGCCCACCCCCAGAGGCCACTGTGGGCTCAAAGCACTCCAGCCCAAGGAGGGAAAGATGGGTAAGTCCTTGGCCCAAGCACACACTGCCTGGGGAAGGAGGCATGGAAGGCAGAACGGTGGAGTCACTTACCACGATGTCCTGAATGTGCTGTTCTACCAGATTTTTCTTGTAGGCAACAATCACAGGGCGGCCGAATGTGTCCAGGTAGGTATAATGCAGCTCATCTGGGGCGCGGCTGATTTCATAGGGACTATCAATTTGGATATTCCTGTAGACAGATGAGAACAAAATATAACCTCAGACAAACTACACGGACAAACTAGGTTTAGGGTTGGAGAATTCCAAGGCTAAGGAGGCCTTTCAAGATCACTAAGTTCACACTCCTCCACTCTGCTCCCCTCTCGCAATGAGGAACACCCACCCTCCTGAGACAGCTAGCCCACTGCCAGAAAGCCCTGAGTATGAAACCACTCTTCTGCTGAGGAAACAACTGTCCCCCACCACCTCCACTCACAAGTGCTCAAAGTACTGACTCCGCCCCTTGGAGATACACAACTGACATAACTCTTGTGTGCATTCTACCCAATGAGAGTCTCTCAGGGACTTGAAGAGGTCCCTTCGTTATTCCAAATGTTCTTTCTCCTCACGTGAATGAGAGCTTCTTATAGGGAACAGTAGACATGCACTGTTTTTGTCTGCCCAGGCCCACTGTCACTTCTGCTGCCAAACAGCACACTCTCGTTTTGCCTGTTATTCCAAATGTTCTTTCTCCTCACGTGAATGAGAGCTTCTTATAGGGAACAGTAGACATGTACTGTTTTTGTCTGCCCAGGCCCACTGTCACTTCTGCTGCCAAACAGCACACTCTCGTTTTGCCTAGAACTACCCTTCCCCCATGGAACATTCTCCACAGGAAGAACAATCAAGGCGCCTCTCATTCTAGTGATCAGAGTGGACATGTGATCTAAGAGAGGCCAAGTAGATGCTCTTGCTCCCCCTGTAAAGTGAATCTAGAGCAAAGTGACACAAAGACTATGAACAATGTTTTCACTCGTGCCAAGGACAGGTGCCCCTGTGAGTTTCCATCTGCTCCTGCCGAACAGACTCCTGGAGACGCCCTGGCTCCATCCTTTCCAAAGCCTGGTTCTTCAACTCATGTGGTCATTTTATGAGATGTCCCTTACCTTTCCAAATACGTTCTTCTCTGCTTAAATTGACCAAAGACGGTTGCTACTGTTTGTTAAGCATGGAACCCTGATAAACCATCTGAGACCACCACCCCGCTGACCCTTTCTGAGCCTGGTCTCACAAGCCCAGGATAAAATGGAGCTACTGCTCCATTACTCTTTCACTTTCTGTTAACACAGCACAAAGGCTATCCAGGTGGTCTTTACTCTGTGTTCTTCCCTGTTGCACATCATCCCATCAGATTCAGGCTATCACTCTGGCTTGTTGAGGTGACACTGAATACTGTACCTGTCATGCGAAGGCACAATGATTCAGAAGATTTCATAAATAAATCCTGGGCCCTCGTTTGAGTCTAACTTTTCTGTTTAAACTTCAGTCAGAAAGTTACCTACAGGCTTATCAGTCAAAACTATTTACTGAGTACCTACTCTGTGCCCCTAGAAAACAGGCTCCCCCCTGAGGTACCAAGAGATTACAACCAGAAAAATGGGAGGAGAGGAACAGTCACACTCACTTGGCCCCTTCAGGCAAGATGATCTTCACAGTCAGAGAATCTATCACTTGTTCATCAAACACATGGTCCACAAACCTCATCTTCAGTGCATACTGGTCACCTGAAGGATGAAGCAAACACACGCAGTGATATGAAATCAGAGAAAATGGGATGGGAGATGGAAAGAAGTACACAGAACAGGGTGAAGAAATGTTATCTAAAGTTAATGGACTAGGAGACTGTGGGATGACAGAGGTAGTGGTGGCAGCATGGTTTGTAGATCTTCTCCAATTCCCACATAAAGGCAGAGCAACTGTTAGACAGCAAAACCAAAAACCCATGGCCCATATTTACAACAAAACTAGGTAACTAGGTATCTCCACAACATGGCAGGGAGGTGAGAGGTGATGATGACAAAACACCACAGGACCTGCACACTACCACTGCCTGTGACAGAAAAAGCGGAGGGAAGAAACAGGGTGACTAATAGGCCTGAGAACAGCAGAATCCCAAAACAGACAACAGGGATTCCCTAGATAGCACAGTAGACCAATGTGAGAAGAGTGGCTAAAACTCCAAGGAACCCAGCGGGTGAGTGACACAGGCCTACAGAAGGTCAGTGAATCTCAAGCAGTTGAGTCCCTAAGAACTTTGAAAGACCACCAGAACTCAAGTCAGGACAGCGTCCTAACAGTGCTGAGTAGAATCAATACTGAGCATGATAGGGACAACAGAGCTATAGAAAAAAAACAGAGCCGGGCCGGCCCGGTGGCGCACTGGATAGTGCGCCGCTTGGGAAGCGCAGCGGCGCTCCCGCCCGAGGGTTTGGATCCCACATACAGACCGGTTCCCGCTCACTGGCTGAGCGAGGCGCGGGAGCAAC